ACCAAGATCGAGGCTTGCACGCCCCATCAAACAAAGGAAAGCGCCCACAAAAAGGAGCGAAATCTGAAAACTTTGCGTCACACACGGGCGCAAACGGCCGCTAGTGACAAGCAACACTGCAGCAACACCCTTGTTCTTAGGCACCACTGAGAGCCTGATTTTCAAAGAAGGGGGATGGTAGACGAAGGGAGTGAAACAGCCAGACATTTAAGGGGTGGAAACGAGAAACGATCTGGAGTCTGGACAGGAAAGGGAAGTAAAGGGAAATGAACGCCGTGAAGGGGAAATGAACGGGGCTGGGACAGAAATGAGCTGAAATGAGAGGAAATGAAGTGGGCATGAAAGGGAATGAAGGGGAATGAGACCAAACACCTACATCCTTTTGCACCTAGGTTCCGGCGTGTCAAGGCTGGTCATCTCAAGAACTTTGCTGAACTCAACGAAAAATCCAAATGGAGCAAGACACCATTGAGAACTGACATCGTCGCGTGTTGTGTGAAGGGTTTCCGGCCCCAAATCCACAACACGTGACACGCAAACAAAAACAGCAATAATAACAGCTTGCGGCCTTCCTGACGTTAAATAACTGGCAAGTTATAAGTCGATTTTTTGGCAGCCATATTCAAACATCGTTTCTGGCCAATGGCCAAGCGTGCGTTCGACATTGACCACGACCAGCCAAACTAGTGCAGTTCGAACATGAGACATGTCGGCCTGCTTGGCGACAACTTTTCTCGGAAACAAAATAATGGGAAATGGCCTTCCTTGCTGGAGCCGTGATGTTCCTTTTAACATCTCAACTTCACACTGTGGAAAGTCGGCGGACTGAGCCGGCCACTCTAAATTAAAGCCCAAGACTCCCCAAACACGGAAACCCTGCGGACATGCAGGCATATCCTGATCAACGCAACCGAAATTCAATGCTCGACCGTGTCAAGTTGCAAAACACAGCTCAAGCACAACGACCAAGCTGAAATACACCAACAGGGGGCTGTCGGTTTGCGGTCACTGGCTTCAGCCTCGGCGGCTGAACACTCAAGCAGCCAGGCGACTCTTCATATTGACGGTTGTCTGAAATTCCTTGCTCCGGAAACCGCCATCTTCGCGAGAAAAAATTAACTTTCGCGGACCCCATCGCGGAACTTTCGCGGGGCTGTTTTCAGAACATTCATCACAAAAGTAGTACACGAAGTACACTTTCGCAGCCCCAGCTCGAAAGTCGCAGCTCTTCAGTGCGAAAGTAGTACTAAAAGTAAACTTCCGCAGCCCGGCTTGAATACGAAAGTAGTACACGACTAAACTTCCTCAGCCTCGAAAGTCAGAACTTTTCAATACGAAAGTAGTACACAAAGTGAACTTCCGCAGCTCCAGCTCGAAAGTCGCAACCTTTCAGATCCAAAGTAGCACGCGAAGCGCGCTTCGCGTGCTAAAGCTCACAAGCCGCAAGCTGCGCATGAGAAGACCTGTTGGCCTCCTGTCTGGAAACTGGCGGGGAGGTCCGTCGACTTTCGCGAATCTTTCACGGATCTTACGCCAAACATTCGCGAAAATCCAGCTGGAAGTTGCGCTCAGCTTGCCCCGACAGCTTCAAACCTCCCAGAAGCTGGTTTCTGCTGGCTGGGGGTTGCTGTTGCAGCGGCGTACTCTTGCGGCGACCCTCAGACTACGCATTCTCCGACCAACTTTAGTCTGCGGGCATTCCGCGCACTGCCGGTAAATACATATGGTTCATCACTCCAGCTTCCTGTTTGCAAGCCACACAAAACTTTCGCGGAAAACAAATTAACTCCTTCGCGGAACTTTCGCGAAGGTCAACGCTAAGACCAAAAGGTCTTCCCCCTCATAGCTGAATACAACGACCTTTCGGACGACTCTCATATGTCACTACCCATATTTTATCTTCTAGTCAGGTCAACAGCCCCGCAAATCGCTGATTAGCTTGCGTTGCAAAGAGGCAATTGCGGACTGCTTGCAAGGCGCTTGAACTCTGGGTCTTCAATGATCTTGCAGGCCCCCGATCGGACTGGACGCTTGGGGGCTCCAATGGCGTTTCCAGCGCACCAGAAGCCTTGGCTACGCTACTTTGGTAGGCTGAACAGGCTGAGTTTGCAAAAAACAGCTGAACGACCAAACTGAAAATCGCCCAAACTCAAGCCTGCGAATGGTCGCTACTGACAAATGCAAAATGCTTGCCAGCGTTTTCTGGAAGCACCAAGCCCAGCGCGGAAGCAAACACAGCCACCAGGCGTCTGTATTCCTCCAAGCCGGCGGCATTCGGCTCGTAGATCTTCTTTGTCTCCGACCGCCATTTTCTTAGCCTAGGAGAGCACAAAAAAAAACGAGAACTTGTCACACTCTAAGACCATCGCTGGCCACAACAAGGCCGAGCAACTCGCAGAGCAAGTGCTCCACACATGTGAAATCCACTAAGACCTCCCACCCGGGAGCGTGCGTGGCAACCAGCTGCTGCATTGTGCGGAACACGCCGTGCTGGCAGAACACGCGCTTGAGCAGCTCCTGTTGGGGCTGACTCCGTTGAGCGTGGTTTTGTCGAGGCTCAGGGCTGTTACACTGCTGGGCTGGGAAGGCCGCGGCGGTGGCTTAAGGGAGGCTTTGTGCACGGAGGCTTCGCCGGGCTTTGCGGACGTTTGATTGATAAGGTTTGTGCTCTCGTTCAGTTGGGCCAAGTTCAATCAATGCGAATGGCGATGCAGGGTGGACATTGAGCTTCAGGACTGAACCACGCGGCTGGGCCCCAAAGGAAGTGGGCAGAGCATGAAAGTTGGACTGCGGCAGCAGTGGCTTCGCGCAGGCTTTGCAAGGCTTAGCACGAAGTGGCTTCGCAAAGTGGCTTTGCCCGGGAGTTCCCCCGAAGCTACATCCATCGTGTCTGGAAAAGGCGACACTCAATTTGTCAAAACAGTGGATTCCTAGCAAACAAACTCTACCACCCAGCGTCAGCAGCAAGCAAACAACCACAACAAAAAAGCAAGATTTCCTGAAGGCTGGGTGAGAAACAACGGTTAGCAAGCCCCCAATCGCCTTGATGGGCACTCTGTCGTCTTCCCCTACGTTGACCAAACGCCGAGCGTTGCCCAGTCCCACGAGCCAGGCCAAGTAGTTGCAGGCACCTGTCAACTGTTAGATTCACGCCAGCCAGTCTCTTAGAGGCCTGGTGTGAAAAAGCAACTTTCAACACTGGCGTCCTCACTGAAGTGCGACAAGCCCTAACGCAAGATAACCACAGCAACACCCCAATACAAGAACGCCTCATCGCGAGAAAGAAGCAGTTCGAAAGCCAGGCAATAAGGTCGAAACCCAATCGAAACGAAGCACCTCCGCTCTCCCAAAAGGCTTTTGAGGAATAGGTCTCCGTTCTTGTGGGCCTGCAAAGTCAACATTTGTTGGCCTTTCGACGGCAATGAAACTTGTCGGGTTGAGTCGAGCACCCAGCCTGGTGGTGATGTACCGCAAGAAAGGACCACACCCAGCAGCACGCAGCAAAGCGTCCACGAGGACACCTTGTCCAAGCTGCAGACCCGTGAAGGATTGGCGCTTCAGTGGAAGGCGGTCCTCGACTGCCAAGCGGCGTGTAGGTCTCGCAAGCGCGCACACTGCGCACTGTGAAAGAAAGCACTTGCATTCTTGGGACGCATCACTCGAAGCTTGCTGCTGCAGCGGCTTCCCAGCCCCACACACCCGGCACCCTGGCAAGAAGCAAGAGCAAAGCATGGCTGAGGAAGCGTGTGCTTGCGGCCACCCCTACCCGCTTAAGCCACCGCGCATCAACTCATTCATGCACACTCCATTCGATACAGCGCGTAGTCTCTGCTGATGCGATGTTTAAACCTGCCAAGCACCCAGGGGGAGGTCCTCAACCAATGAACAAAAGGGAGCAAACAGCGGCTCTAAACAAAAGAGAAAACAGGAATCCAAGCTATTCAATGTTTGCAAATGGGTGTCTGTTTTTTCGAGGATATCCCCTTTTGGTAGGTGTTGAAGGGCGGTAGTCCCCTTAAAAAAACACAAACCCATATTTGGTGAAGCCAAAGGGCCCAGCTAAAGCAACATTCATTCTTGCCCTGGCTTGCGTGGCCTCCCTTCAACGTGAAAAAGCTCCGCAAAGCCTTTGCGTGTGTGTGTGGGTGGGGTGTGTGTGTGTGGCGTGTGCGTGCGCGTGTGCGTGTGGGTAATGTGTTGCTCTTGGCTTCCTCGAAAAACGACACTAGCACACTAACAAATGCAAAGACGCCGGCCATGCTTCGAGAACACAGCAAATCAGTTGTCACTCGGGCTCCTCAAACCTCCGCCGCCGCGGCATGCAGCCATGCGCTAGAAGAAGCTCAGAAGCATGCTATCACAAACAATCTGGAGCCAGATTGCAGCTGGCAGCAAGTGCCAGAAGCCGTCTCTGCTCATGCAATGAGAATAACGTCTTTCGAGTCTTTAGTGCGCCCAAAAAAACGACGCCAAAAAACCATGGGTTCAAGTCATATCCTGCCCTGCCTCAAACATGTAATAAAATACAACCCCGGACAGGGGGGAAAGAACCAACAAAAGCGCGCGTTTACAGGACGACCGAGCCACAAACAAACAAACAAACAAACAAGCAAACAAACAAACAAACAAGCACTAAAACAATAAAGCAATAAAGTAAGAAAGCAATCAAGCACAAGAAAGCAAACAAAAACACACACACACACAAACACCAAACAAAAACACAAGCAAGCAAGCAAGCAAGCCTGCCGGCCAGGCAAGCAGGCAGGCAGGCAAGCAAGCCCAACAGCACAACCAGCGAGCGAGCCAAACAACACAAGAAGCAAGCAAGCAAGCAAGCAAGCAAGCAAGCAAGCAGGCAGGCAGGCAAGCAAGCAAGCAAGCAAGCAAGCAAGCAAGCAAGCAAGCAAGCAAGCAAGCAAGCAAGCAAGCAAGCAAGCAAGCAGAAACCGTGTTTCGATCCAAGTTATGCATGGCCCCTACCCAATTGTTCTCTGAAGCACCAGAATGCCGCCGCCGCCAACGCCGCCACCAGAAGCCACCATGACGCCTGGGTGACATGAGTGGCCACCAGGGGACCGCAGGGCTTAGTCCACGTTACCACTTACAGAGTTCGATTTTGGGGTTACCCTATTTTTGGACCCACAGCCACAAATGGCCATGGGTTAAAAGTTAAATCGTAGTGAATATTCCAATCCAACCACTAAAATACACTAAAATGGGTGGTGAATTCACCTAGCCCAAAATGGGATCCCATTGGGTTTGACCCACAGCCAAACTACTGGAGGGGTGCTCATCAAAGTAGTACCCTGAAATGTTTGGTGTCCTTTTGGCTTCCGTTTAAATACACGGCGAAAGAATGATACAATGCGCGAAACCCTGCACCACTTCGACACCTTTGGAAACCCACTGTTTGTTTATATGTCCAGAAAAAAACATCATTTCCGAGCTTGTTGGGTGGTGCAGGATTTTACCCATCCACGGTAGCCCATTGTGCCAAAAAAAGACTGCCCTTTATTTGAGCATGGTCAAAATTACCTATTTCCCCTGAAGGACACGGGAACCCCCTGCTTTTGCAGGAGAATTAGTGAGGAGTGTGTTGTAAATTTAGGTGAGCGCCCCCCCCCCCCATGTTCTTCCCAAACGCACCCTAGACTGCTGAACATGTTGACCAAACCTCACATTGTTTGGACACTGTCTACTCCTGTTTTGACCTGGCAAAAACGAGATGCCATTTGTGCCAGGACAGACTAGTGTTTAACTCACCAATCCGTTGGATCCTGTCAATCCTTGCTATGCTTGCTGCGCAATGAGCTTGCTTCTGGTTCGACTAGATTCTATGGAGAAGTGCTGTCTGCGTTCCGGTGCACATCTGCCACCCCCAAAGACACCCATAAGCTCCTAGCTTTGAAAAATGTACAATGGAAACTGCCAGCACCCGACTGACGTTTCCCATGTACAAAACGGGTCCAAGGTGCTGTGACCTCTGCGTAACAGGGCTACCAATATAACTTGCTTGACGTTGGAAGGGGAGCGAACAACTAATTTTTGAGCAGTTAAGTCCCACTAAACCACAATAAGAAAAAATGTAAAATGTTTCCCAATAACAACCATGATAGCCCCTTTAAGCATCCCCCCAAAAAGGAAACTCACTTTCAGGCCCGAAAAAGTGTTCAAACCTGCGGAGATGTGGGCATTTCTATGTTTCTTGAGATAGTCCCCTAAAAATGCCTGGTGTCCTTTTGGTTTCGCTACGAGAAGGGGGACCTTTTTGAGAAAGCCTTCGACACATCATTGCAATTTTGCAAAGGTACAAGAACCCGAGAGTCAGATTGATTTTTGCTGGCAAGAGCAGCATCTTGTTTCGGGAACCCAAGCGAAAAACCCAAGGGAAACGCAGGGAAACCACCAATTTTCAGGGAAATCCACGGGGAAACCACCAATGTTCAAGGAAACCCAAGGGAACCCCCAGCGAAACACAAGGGACACCCAACCAAAAACCCCAGCCAAGCCACCCATTTTCTCACCCAAACGCTCTGTCAGGGAATTCGGGGACCCCGGCTAGCGCCGGCCACTGCGAAGCAGAGGAGGTCAGACATGTCCATGGGGAAGAGGTCCTGCTCGATTCGCCATGCATTTCCGGGAGTCCCCTGGACAAAAATGAGAAAATATGTTGAGGAGTACCCGAAAGGAAACCAGTTATGTACAGAAATATCCTGTGAAGTCGATGTGAGCGTCATGCCACCCCCCCGCCGGGCGCCACCCCCTACCTACCCTTTGCTTAAGTCCACTTTGCTTCAACATGGGAAAATAGGTTGTGTAGTTGGGCGCCATCCATTTGGGATTTCACGCGTGCTTCCGCGAATTCGCCCTTCTTGTAGAGCAACCGTTGCAATATTGGGGACTCACACACACGTTGGGCTGATTGCTAGAAGGGAACTGATGGCCATCCATTTGCCCGAGCCCCCTGGACAAAGTGAGAACATATTAGTTGAGTGGTGAAGTCGACTCCCTGAGAAAAGCCACCAGAAAACAGGAGCCTAAGCACATGGAAGCAGGCCCTGTGCGGTTGGCGCGATAGGGAAACCACATTCGCTGCGGTAGGGAATGAAGCCTGGGGCCAGCCGAATGGAAAAAATCTGGGGGGATGGTTTATAGGGGACATTCCACTCATTCCCTCCTGAGAACCGGCAAGAAATACCAGTGCTTTGACAGGGTGTAAATTTGCAAACAAGGAGGTTTTGCATGGTACGTATTTGTTTTTTGAGTCAGGGGTTAACGTCATGCCCCAAACAAGGACTGTATCAGGGGAGCGTTTTGTGAGGGTACCGGGTACCCCTCACCTTTTTGGGGGGTCCTCCTACAACGCACACCCATACTGTCCAAGGGGACCGCCTTTTAACTAAAAAAAACTGGCGAAGAGTCATCTACTATAGTGGCTTGTCTGGGATCCCTTGGGTGTTTTCCCAAGTGTACCTTTTGGTTAGGCCCGTTTGCCTGGTCGGTCCAAGAATCCAAGTGTTGTCCTAATGTCCAGTAGGGGTGTACTTTGTGATGAGGGTCCATTGAGGGTGTGTCTTTTTTTAGCGGACCACCCCCCCTTGAAAAAAATGGTTTGTCTTTTGGTGTCTTTTCAAAACCAGCCAAAAACAGGTACCCTTATAAAAAAAGACACACCCATGAAGTGTTTTGGCCTGTTTGGCCAGCCCCCAAGGTCCATGTGATGCCAGAGGTTGGTCCCAATGGTCTTCGGTGATCTTGCAAGATGCACAACCAGACACCTTGCAGACGGGATGTCCCCTTTTGACAGGTTCAGGGAAACCAAGAGGAACGATTTTTGGGGATGGATCTGGATGAATGTCTCCCCTGACAGCTTAAGGAAAAGCAATCCCCTAACAGCTTAAGGAAAACCCAAAGGAAACGCAGTTTTGGGGATGGATCTGGAGGAATCTATAAACCAAAACCCACCAGCGGGACCCTGTTGTTGCAAGAGCGGGCGCGAGCGAGCGCTCGCTCGCGAGCCTTGTGGTAGTCGAACATCTCACGATCCCCTAGCCGCCTGGGGCCATGGCAATTTGGGGGACGCAGCCCTGTGGATGGTTGCGAAATGCAGAAATTCCACCACCGTTCAGAAGGCCAACGGAATGATTCGATTCCCCCTGTAAATTACCAGCAAGCAATGGCTTCAACCATGGCTTCATTTCGTGGTGCGAAATGGATTTCGTCCATCCACAGTAGCTGTGGCGGAGCATCTGGTTGTGGGAAATAACCCCTGTGACGCTACGAGGAGTTTGCTTGGAATCACAAATCATGAGCCTAAAACCCTGGTTTCCCACAGTCATGACCGGTGGCAACTGCTTATTAAAAAACAAAAAAAGATCAAAGAGAAGCTGTCGAAGTGACCCTCGCAACGCCAAGGGCCTCGCCACTCTGATATGTTCAGCAGGAAATAAAACACAAAGCTTTCAATGCGAGTCATGGTCTTAGAATGAGGTGTGTCTTCTTTAGACATGACTTGCTGCTGCCCGATGTCCCCAAATTGATTCACTGTCCCTCCTAAAAGAGTCAAGCTCCACTTCGCATCAGTTGGAATTCATGAGACCCTGTATACAGAAAACCAGCCACCTACCAACTGGTGCGGTTTGGATTTTCTCCATTCGCAGCTT